GACGCAAGGAAGTAAGAACAAGATGCCGAACACCCTTAGCAGGATACAGCGCACCCTTCATGCGTCTCGCCGAATATCTCACGGCGCTTCGCGCTTGGTGATGTGAGAGCCTGGTCCGGTGAGAACCCGGCGTGCTCCGTCCCGGCTTTGTAGGGATGCGAGGTCAATGGTCTTACCACTACGGCATGCACGACTATGAGTACCCCCCCCCCCCCCATAATGTTACGTGCCCTTGGCCTACACCATCTGGTTGCGGTACCGGCGTAGCTACGTTGTCATTTGCTGACCTAGCAGCTGCTTGAGCACCGTGATACCTTATGCCGTGCAGAGGAAGGTTGAAGGACGCTCCGAGCTGAATGGAGCGGCAGAGCCCGGGCCACGTGACGTTGTCGAGGGACTTGTTGAAGCGGAAGCCGAAAATGACGCTCTCAAGGTAAGGCGGCCACCTCACTCCCGACAGCGGTGTGTCAAAGTTGTACCCAAAAGAGACCTGCGCATTGACAGGAGTGGTCGCCACCGAAACGGCTTCGTGAATCGTTCCTGAGGACCTCACGTTTGGCGGCGTGTTCTTTGTCGTGGGTTACGGTAGAGTGATGTTGAAAAGTTGTTGCTGTACTGTGATGGCCTCCGCTGCTGCCGGGACTCGTGGCTACATGGATATCGGTATCATGTGTCGGACCGCTGCATCCACGCTAATCGTGTTGCATGCTCAGCTGCTTGTTGGCTAACAGCGGTGGGCAAATTGTAGTTTCTGGTCGATGCACACCCGTTTCAACAACTGAACGATTGAGCGTCTGCACACCGACTTGGGATCAATTTGATATTTTCTCATCGTTAACATGAAATACGAATGTGTAATCGTGCAGGGGAACGAACGCCTTTTTGTTTCAAGAACGACAGAATGGATACATTATTTCAGTCTGCTACGCTCCTGAGGGTTTGCTATTGTTCCATGGCCAGCCCACGGAACAATCCACGAAACTCCCGAAAGTGCGGCGATACTGTGCAGTAGTCTTTGTGCGTTGTAGCGGCAGATACTCCCAACACCATGAAAGGTCCACCGTCCTTCATGCAAAACGAACTACAGTTTATACTGGATGGTGTTCTGCGGTATCAAATGCACTCGTGTGAGATATCGACGAGTCGCCAACTAAAAACGTGTGCTACTCCCAGAGGACACGCACCTCGTTCACGCCCTCCGGCCATGACATCCCCGCCACCGAGTGGTTGAAGTCACGTCCGAATGACAGGCTCTCTAGGCGTTGAGGGCACGCCACTTGTTCAACTTGCTGATCGAATGCTTTTCCAAGCTGAAGGGACTGCACTCGCGCCGGAAACTCAGCCTGCTCGACGGGGTTATTGAACGCGTCACCGAAGGCGATGCTCTGCAACGCCGGCGGCCAGTTAACCCTTTCAATCGGCTGGTCAAAGAGCTGTCCCCACACAAGCCTTTGGAGGGACTTTGGCAGCTCAGCTCCCTCGAGAGGATGGTTGAAAGACGCCCCCAGGGACAAGAAAGTTAGTACAGGAGGGAACGATGCATTTTGAATATCCTGGTTGAAGTCCGCACCAAGGAACAGTCTCTCCAGGCCCTTTGGAAAGACTACATCCTCTATGGGCTCGTTGAACCCCTTTCGAAAGGTCAGCTCGCGCAGTCCCTCTGACCATAGCACCCACCGTAGATCTTGGTCGAAGTCCTCCAAGAACGTGAGCCGGCCTTCGCCACCCGGCCATGACACAATGCGTTGAATCGATACGCCCAGAGCCGCCCACACAACATGCAATACCCTTTGGTATCTCGCAAGCCGAACACATATTCCCCCTTCCTCATCCCAGGTGCTCGCGCCACCCTGCATCAGTAGTTCTGGCGAAGAGGCGGGCGTGACGAACAAATTTCGGTCCCTGGTGGTGGTGGCGGTGGCGTTACCATTTTCGCCGATGTATACTGCTTGATATTTTGCTGCCCTGCAATCGTTACGTGTGGAGTGTCGAAGAACAAGGCGCTGAGGGACGGCGGCATGCGGTCTGTGAGACGTAAACGGATGGCCACCGATTCACGACAGGCATTGCAGGTGTCTAGAGATACCAACTGCAGCTGGTGATGACCCTCGTATCCAGAAGTGAACGCTAGCTGAAGCGCCGCTAGTGACGTTAATTTGGGCGATGGTTGGGTTTGGAGATTAGACTATAGCTTCATTCATAAAATCCGCTTCGTCGGAGACTAGACTAGGCCGGATGGTGGTACCAGGTGGAGTGAAGAATGGCTATGTAGACTAGACCATCAACAACCATGAGCGAACAGAAGGAGATCGTGCATGAACGTTTGACGTTCGTCAACCGCTCTCTCGATCTTGCCGCCCCTATTACCAGGTGGACTGAAGTAGGGCTAAATAGACAGCCAGTCACTAAACAGCCAGTCACTGTTCTTGCTGCTGCACAGGCGGGCACAGAACGCGATCGTACATCGTCAACCGCTTTCTCGAACGTGCCGCCCCTGTGTCGGCAGACTGGCTGCACTCCGCGAGAAAAAAAACGGCGGTTTCGTGCCTCTATTCGCAACCATTGTTGATATCGTATCTCCACTGCTGCGGCGGTGGCTGCTGCGGCTGCTGCTGCGGCGGCGGCTGCTGCTGCGGCGGCTGCTACATGTTTATGTCAGCAGCTGCTCTGTGCATACGCATAGTATGCAAAATATGTGCGGCGTCCTTGTGGAGGTCGAGGTCCACAGATGATAGATTCACAGCTACAGTACAGCAGTGTACAACAGTTGTTGTACGAAGTGGTGGCATTTACCGGGATAGTCAAGGATAGCCAATGGCAGCTACAGCAGTAAGTCTATAAGCCAGTGGTAGCTACAGCAGTATATCCGAGCCTTTGAGGGATCCAACGGCAGCTAAACCCCCTAACGGTCGTTACAGCAGATGATCAAAAGATCCAACGAGAGACCTACAGGCAGTCCTGTCATCGAGTTCCCAACATGTTCCAGGTGCACCCCTGTGAAAACACAATCAGCGGGTGAGAGAAACATACCCCGAGCCCAGATCGGATACCCCGGCTGGTTGATGATTTTGATTCCTTGCGCGCCTTACCCGCACGAAATTTATTCCGGCCCGGAACAATCTGCGAACGCCTCGTCACATGCTTTACTCAGTAATGCAAGAAATTTATCCGATCGCGCGAACCGGTTTCTTGGAATTCTTATGGTGTGTGGTTCAGTTCAAAGTAAAAAAGATAGATTTAACGGAACCCCTGAACTGGCCTCTCAGAAGACTCTCTCACGGCGGACACGCCGAAAAGACAACGCGCAACAACCGGCCCCAAGTCATCCACTCCTCTCGCCACCCAGATTTCTCACATCTGATTTGCCCCACAACCCGCTGTTGTCACTCCTCTCTCCTCTCTGGTGCCTCCTCCACACCCCTCTCTTCCGATCAACCAGGGGACTGGCAAGAGGGAAAAGAACACCGTTTAATTATCAGGTCTTCCTGTGGATTCCAGAACAAGTCTGATATTTGGCGCTGCTGTGATATGCCGCGAGCGCAGCAGCTTGCGTTGGTGACAGGCGCCCTTTGGGCGGCCACTGCGAACGCCGCGGGGATTCGCGTTCATGGAGACGTCTCCGTTGCTCCCCCTGCTGCCCGCAGGCTTCAATCCACGGTGAGGACTCGGCAAGGCCCAGCGTTGGGTTGCAGTAATCAGTTGCTCTCTTGAGTCAGGTGGTGGTCCTACTGTTGGATTCGGTGTGTGTTGTTTTTTCGTCCATGCTCCTGAGAAAGATGTATCAAGCGAGGCCTTTCTTTGCCGCCTGCCGCCGCCTGCAGAGTAGACTTGGTGCATGTGCAGGCCGTCACGCGTGCGTGTGCTCACCATCGTGGGCGATGCGCAACGTCACTTTTCGACTGGGTGCTCACAAGGCTGGATTCAGTTTGGAAAGAGATCAACTGCTGTGCTGGTACAGCAGCAGTGCACAATTTACCCGAGCTGATGATAATCCGAGCGTAATCTATGTGATTTTTCCCACGTTCAGGCGCGTGCGACTCCCGTAGCCGCCAAGCATAGGCCAGCCACCGCCGTAGCCAGACGCGACACACGCTAGAAACATGCGACCTTCTCGGGCCGAGTCACCAATCGTGCTGTGGTAGTAATCTCGCGTATTTTCTTGGAGAGCGTGTTTTTCGCCCAAGATCAAGATTCTCCGCCTTGTATTCCCCATACCGTCTCGTTCTCGCGGTAGTCGCGTGTCGCGCAAGCCCCTATCGCGGGAGTAACTTCGAAGGTTGGAAATGCAATGTGGCACACGCCTTGGCACGCCGTTGGCACGATCCGTGATCCTGCTTTGAGACTCATTGCACCTGTATTTCGTAGAGGCGGGCCAGTTGCTACAAACGCAGCTTGCTAGCTGTCCATCATCGAGAGGACCACAAGTTTGGTGCGTCTTGTAATTTTCTGGCCGTTGCCAGGGAACATTATTGAGACTGGTGGTGCGCATTTCATGAGCTTTGCAGCGATGCCGCGCTGGTTTGTGTTGCGTGCGTGCGCATCTTGGGTCTCTATGGGCGGTGTTACACCGGCCTTCAACACGGGCTCTGCATTCCCTGTTGGAACCGTGCGGCAGAGTCTGATAACCTCCACAGCCACCGGTTCTTTGGGAAAATGTTCTGAACCAATCCTTCCGGAAATGTCTGTTGTCTGTTACGATACGTAGTCGATACGTCCGCAGCCCGGACTATGCGTACGTCATGTCCTCTCGTGAAAATTGATGGGGATCCCTTCGTCGCGCTAGCATAGGAAACTCCGGTGTTGGTTTGCACGCTATGTCTTTTCGCACGACTTATCGCTGCACTTTTCCGTTGAGTTCAAGAACCCACGCTGAATCTCGTTGCAATTCGACACCAGAACCACATCGTCGTATTTTGCACTTGCTTGCTGTTGTCGGTCGTCGAGTCGGCACTTAGTTAAGACTAAATCGCCCTAACAACTGTGAGCGCCTAGAACTTGTCCTTCTCTTACACCCTCCCGGTTGTTCCGGGTACCCCCAACTAGGGTGAGAGATCAGCCACCTTCCTTTCGTATGAGTCTTTGCGAATGCTTTTGCCTCATTTTGATCGCCGAAAGGATTCAGCGAAACAATTAAAAAATTTCTCTCGTGTAGACTATATATTCTGTTGATGGGCTAATTGCCCTCTCAAGAAGCGGGTGCACCTGCCCACTGCCCACACCCGCCCTGGGTAGAGCAGAACATGATGTGTATTTCCATGATAAATAGATCCAAACTCTTGCCAAACTTCAATATGCAGTTCCCTACCGAGTACTGATGGGTTCAATACGCATCGACTATGTGTGTTGACTATGTACGAAGCAATAGTCGACTTGTGGATTTATTCGCCTCTTTCATGCCCCAACGGGGGAAAAGCAACAGCAGTGTTGTCCAGTAAAAATCTGCAACACTGGACTGATCGACCTCCTTTCACGAATCGATTGAACTCACGAACGAGCGACGTTTTCCGCGAAATCGCGCCCGTTCTTGCCCGTCCATTACAACACTATTTTTTCTCTCGCAGTTGCCTGACGGACTGGTCACGACCGATCTGGGATGCTACAGGGACAGCCAGTCGGACCGTGTACTCCAATCGGGGCTTATGGGACAGAGCGACATGACGCCGGATGTACGTATTTGTTGGTGGCACATTCCCCTATTTAGCCGAGTTACAGAGTGGAGGGAGGGCGCGCCCGTCGGGGATATGTTGTTTTTTGTGACTGGCAACCAGCGACTAACTGCAACAGCAGCGCCTCCCCCACGTCACAAGAACAGTTGCTACTCATGTAGGGTTTGTTGTATAGTCTCCCTCCGTGCGTGCGAGTCGCACAAGTTGTCCAAAATGTCCAAGTGATGACCACACAACAAACAGATTTTCGCAACTGCTGTCCTGGAGATTATTATATTTTTTTTTTGTCTCCATCGTCTCCGCCCATTTCCATGACCACATTGGGTACACCGGCACACACACCCTGAACTACTCTCACTGTGTAGGGTGGCACCCGCGTTGTTTAGTGCCCGCCGCGTACGTCAACGGTTGTTTCACCGCCGGGGTGTTGACGGAAAAATATGGTACGTCGTATGTTTTTTCCCCATACATTACGAACAGTTTGTTTCGTATCTAAGGGGTAGGGTTGTGAGGGCGTTTTTTTCCGTTCGACCGGAAACATGTCGCGAAATTTTTTCTTTTCGCATGACGATATAGACTATTGGTGATTATAGAACAACCGGTCGATTACTCTGTAGGGTTGACGAGTCCAGCCAGATCCTCCCGCCCTTGGCAATATCGGCGGAGATTCTATATACAGAAGTTACCCCGGTGCACGTTTGGCTGGCATCTTGAACAACCCCGTTCCTCCTCGCGCTCTTGGCTTCCCATTCATTCCCTTCTCAGGTGTGCGCCGCTTACTGCCTCGATAAAGGAAGCTACACGTTCTACGGCGTCCAGTATGGGCAAGAGTGAGTGGCTGATGTCGGATATCCGTCAACGTGGATGTCGTTTGTCTTGTTGAACCTTGCTTGCTGCGCTTGTAGGAAGGCTGACGGGCATCGGAAGCGGAAGAAGAGACGATGTATCGATAGACCAGAGGACAGGCATAGTTGACGGGTAATATAGTTTAATTTCCGAGAGAGTGGGCGTCTGTTCGGCACTTGTTGCGGTGCAGCAGGAGCAAAAGTAGTCCACTAGAAACACTATTTATAGACGCCGATCGCTTTCGTACAACGTTAATGTCAATAGTTTGATCGCAGGATGATCAGGAAGATCCGCCGAACTGGTTAGATGACCTACACACAACAGCCACGCGTGAGTGGTAACCCCCCCCCCGCCCCTCTGTCGATATTAATTGACACCTTTCAGATGCTGGTGCGGAAGGGCGGGCACGGAGTACGACCGGCTGGGCGCGCTCGAGATGTCCGAGTGCGACTACCCTTGCACCGGCGACGCGAGCTCCACGTGCGGGGGGTTCGACTCCTTCCAGGCGTTCGAGCTTGGGGCCCTGGATCAGCCAGAGGGGTACCTCGGCTGCTTCGTGGATTCCCAGAGCTCCAGGCTGTTCTCGGCCCCCTTGGTTGCCAGCGCTAGCAACACCGCGGAGGTATGTATTTGCAAATGTTTTGTTTCTCACTAGCGGCAGAAGGAATCCGTCTCCGTTCGCACAGGTATTCCGGTTCAAGAGCTGGGCGGAATCGCGCCCCGTATTATCTGCACGAACGAACGGCGGCGTTCCAAGAGGGGGGTTTCCTTTTTGTGCTGCTGCCGCTCAAAGCAAACGCTGTTTTTGCTGTTTTTTGTAGGCTCGATCGGCACACCGAGACCCCCTTTCGCATGGAATGTTGCTGGGTGACCCGTTCCGACAAAACTCGCTGCATCACGTCCGTCAATCTCGCAGACCTGCAAGGCCACCTGCGCTGGATTCGCGTACTACGGGCTCCAGTACAGCGAAGAGTGAGTGGCACTGCTGTAAACGCCTCGTGTATTTCGTGATTCGTAGAAATTGCAAGCGTTTGGTTCTGTGTAGCTTGCAAGTACGGTGTGAAGAAATTCTCCCCCTCTTATTAAATGCTGGGTTAGGAGCGCTGGCAGAACAAGAGATGACCGAAAGGGTTTGTTGCGGTTTTGGAGCAGTAGCAGTACCGAATGATGGATGGGGGGGCAGGGGGCTGCCTTTGTCAAGATTTCTCTGCATATCGTTGGGAACTCTACTTCCGAGGCAAACACGCCTCCGCCCCCCCGCGCGCCCTCCCGTCTGAAACTAAGCCCTCTATCTCGCCTTTTTTCGCCCCCATCGGTGTTAACTCGCGGTTTCAGGTGCTTCTGTGGCCTTGCGGAAGAGGACTACACTCGCCTCGGCACGTCCGACGCGTGCGGGTACCGCTGCTCCGGGGACGTGCTGTCCACTTGCGGTGGCTTCAACGCCATGGACGTTTTCGCCATGGACGGTGAGGATGAGGACGAAAGTGGGCGCAGACTTTCTCCGATGTGAAGTAACTTCTCTCGTATGCATAAAACTTTTTGGTGGGCTGTCGTTTGGTGGTGGTGGTGGTGGATGCGATCGGTTGGCGATGGTCTGATCCTGTTCCCAACCCCCTTTCCCCGTCCTCTGTGTCGCTTTTGCTGCGCGGTCAACGATGACAACAGCCGGCGTGACGTCTCCGCCTGCCACGGCCCCGCCTACCACGCTACCCCCTGGGACGGCCCCGCCTGTCTCTGCCCCTCCTACCACGGCCCCGCCTGCTACGGCCCCGCCTGCTACCGCCCCCCCTGCCACCGCCCCCACACACACACACACACCTCAGTGTAGTTTTACGTGTCGCTGTGATTGTGGCGACGGTTTGTTCGTTTGGGGCGGTAATAACGTAGTAATCACGAGGTGCTTAAAAACCCATGTCAAACTTCATAATCAAGCTCTAAATGTTATAGTTGGTGGTGGGAAATTACGAAAAAAGAAAAGGC